TATATATATATATATATATATATATATATACACAAATTTTTAGACCAACAGACGGTTAAAAGCGTTTAGCATGAACAGCTTAATAAATTCTTGTTTAATTCAAATTCAAATGATTTTAGGGGGTGGGGGAAGCGAATAATTTTTCTTGAATATATAAATTGGTAGTAAATTTTAAGCTCTGGTATATTAATTTTTGCAATGAGAAAAAAAGTATGGTCAAAACTACCAGATTATGGTAAATATGGTGATATTTTCCGTGTTTCTGGTTCTAGGGGAGCATCAAGAAGCTCGGTAATTTTAATCGATGAATATCGGTGATAATTTTGTTAAAATTATCAATAAAATACGGTTTCAAAATATATATGATCAAATTTGGTAATTTTTTGTATAAAATTATTTTTTGATTATTTTAGCATGATACCTTTGAGCATGGCATAAAAACACTTATGCGGTTAAATGTATCTTTTATTCTTATATTCTTTACTAAATGTGTGGTAATAAAAGTTATAATTTTGAAAATCAGAATTTCCAGTATACCATTACCATATGAAAGGAAAAATTACCGAAACGACGTTTTTTTTATTTACCAAAATGACATTACCATACATAATTTTACTATAATTTTTTTTGTTCGTGTGACTAGTTGACCTGTCTTTCGTACGGGGTGGTAAAAAGTAAATAGCCAATAAATCAGTATAGATTTACACTGCAAAATCATGCAATTCCAGTTTTCTTTTATTTACAATTATTTGTTGCCCTTCTCGGTGAATTTATGCAATGAGTTTGAGCAAAACATAATTTTAGAAGTTCATCAAATCAAAATAAAGATGAATTATATTCAGCATCATTTGGCAATGTGCTGCTGCTCGAAGTCAGCTCCTGAAATTTAAAAATTACCATAATTAACAATTTTCTCCTATACTTGTTCCTTTCGGTAGGTCGTAAGAAACTTATTTCCACAGTACCTATTGTAGTTATTTTGGTTCTAATATTAGTATATTTAGTATCTATTGAAAACATGAATTAACATAATACCTGGAGTGCATATTACCAATACCATTTAATCATTATTGGCATCAATATTAAGGCGATTTTTATGGGTCTTCCATAAACGTTTTTCTTTATTAATTTAGTTCTCGAATGGCAAAATTTTCTTTTATTCCAATTCTTACCTTTTGGCAAAATTAAATATGCATCATTGGCGTCAATAAACAATATGACAATTTTTTGGGATTCTCTTATACGAATAAATAACTTTTTTACATTAACGTAACTTTTTTAATATAAATTTTATTTTTTTAAATTTAAGTTTGTACCTATTAATAATACTAATTAATTGTAATTATCGAAAATAATTTTTAATAACACTATTATTTTTGTAACCATTTTTGGCGAACTAATATAAGTATTTATTTTGGTATTTCCAGGTATTTATTAAACTATCGCCAAAGTATTTACTAACTCCAGTGATGCTTAACTAAATATGGTATTAAATATTACTGGTACTTTATTTATATTTTATTACCTACGTTGAACAGAGGACCCAATTCTGAGTTTACGACTATCAATAATCAACCAAGTAGCCTTGTAATTTTGAACCCAATCACAGAAGACAGGGGAAATCCAGGATTAAGCATTAGAACGAATTAGTCTTTGTGGAGAACTTTTTTGATGGAATTAATCCGCATTTACGTTACATGGAGAGGAAAATCACTAAAACCTCCCACAGTTAGCCCAAGCGGTAAGGAGATTCTAAGGAGTAAGAATCGGAAAGCGCGCACTCTGTTCCATAAGTCCCTCCGGCTCAAGTATTTTGCTATGAAGTAATAGTAATAGTGAGAATTTCGCTTCAATATTGTATTAAATAAACATTAAAGACGAATCGCATTTTTCGTGATCGTAATCATGCAATAATCGTAAAATGATTGGAGAAAAGGTAAAGTTATGTTAAGGAGCGCAAAACTGCGAGGCAGAAATTAACGGTTTTAATCCATTTACGGTGAGAAACGAAAAAAAAAATGCTGTTTTGTCAACAAAATAGCTTTAAGCTGTTAATTCTGTGGAGAATTTCCTAGAAAACAATGGGTATTTTTAACAGTGCATACATATAAAGATTCTGCTTCATTTATATAGATTTAATGAATTTAATTAACCATGATAATGATCACCCCTATATCTATATAGTTTAAAGAAATGAATAAAAACTGATTATCACGCATTGAAATATTTAAGTTCTGACAAAATTAAGTAAATAATATTTGTCCTCTCGCTATTACTTTAGAAATAGTAGACAGCTTAGGACTTTCGGGTGGGCATTTATGCAGAGCGTCGCAAAGTCATGTAAGCTGTAATCAATATCATGTTCTATAATTGAACTTTTCAATTAGTTGACCCCGGTGGCCATTATAGAAGCATCCGGAAATAGAGAAAATGAAACGCGTAGGGATGTAGCCAGAAATCTTATCTTACCACACTCATATTTAGATGGACAGCAGTGATCCTTTTCGTACACAAGGTGACAGTTTGAATCTCCCGCATACTCAAGTTGAGGACACTCTTTGTGCCGACACACAATCTGCGCTTGTTCCTCAACTGCAAGGCACCTACAAGACTGACACTTGTCTGTGATGTTTAATCTAGATCCTACTTTGTACTCCTGATTCTGGTAAATGCAAACTAAAAATATATTTAATGCTTTCAAAATGCAAAAGTGATGTGCAACGAATATATAACAAACGATGGGAGAAAAACTTTCAAAAAAATTTTTCCAATTAAAGAAAACAGAACTGGTGCGAAGTACATGAAGACTTTTCAAGGCATCGTATACAGAAAAAATACATTAGCACGCTTCGGATAGATTGAACTTTGCTTTATCAGGTAGTTGAAAATGACAGTGTAAGATAAACGGATGTTATGTTTTATATGTAAATTGAAAAAAATCCAATGAGGGAGAAGTTTTTCCTTTATTATCCATGCTTATAAAAAGGACTATTCTTAAAACCTTAATCAGAGTTACAACTAACATTACAAACAATTTTCGCCTCTGGTCAAGAAATGTTTAAATAATCTATTGCCAAATATTGTTAAGACTCATAACACAGTTTCAAATTTCCTTTTCACCCATTTTTCTCTCTCGTTCCTTCTCCTATTTTTGATGCCTTTTTTTTATTCACTTATATTTTCTTTCTCCCATTCAGCTTGAATTTTCTTCATCGTCCATTTTTCTCCTATTGTCATTTTTGACTACCTGATGAGGAAAAGCTCATTCTTTCGTAAATTTGTATAAGCCTTTATCAATTTCTCATCAAGCGGAAGAAAGAGTAAGCGAGCAATGTAAATAAATCAGCAATATTATAAAAGAGATTATAAGTAAAAATTCAATACAAGATGATTAAGCTTTTTTTAGAAACATTTAAAACTCTTTTTAAAATTTCAGCAGTGAACATTTGTCGATTTAAAAGTAATATCAATTTTCATGTCACTCAATGGTAATCCATTCCAAAATTTTTTTTTTAAATTTTCAGTTATTCATCATCTTTATCAATTATTCATCATATCGAAGAAGCGAGTAAGTGAGCAATGTTAATAAATAAGCAATATTAATATAAGATGTAGAAAGCTATAAGTAGCAATTCAACACAAAATGATTTAAGTTTTTTGTTATATACAATTTAAAATTTTCATCAAAATTTTAACAATAAACACTTGTCGATTTAAAAGTGATATCAATTCTCATGTCATTCTATGTTAATCCATTCCGAAATCCAATTTTTAATTATTCATCACGAAAAAATCAATCAATTCAATCAATTATTTATCATGTCGAAAAAAAAGTAAGTGAGCAATGTACATAAATAAGCAATATTAATGTAAGAGGTATAAGGTTATAAGAAACGATTCAACACAAAATGAATTAAGATTTTTGTTACATTCATTTTAAAATTCTTATTAAAATTTTAACAATAAAAATTTGTTGGTTAAAAAATAATTGTTTACTTGTCGGTGAAAAAGTAATTGCTGAAAGTACGAAATTGCTTACTTTTCTGCTCTTCGTTAGTGCTGCTCGTTAGAGGGCACAAAAACTTTTTAGGGCAGCCGCAGGAATCAACTTGTACAACCTGACACCCTTTTGTCTCGTAATGTTTATAATACCGCCACTCACAGTTACAGTTATTTTCTAAAGGTTCTTCATCATAACCTAGAGTGAAATAATAGTTAAAGGCATTTACTACCTGAATACTAATAAATTAATCATTTTGAATATATTTGTCAAGTGCATTGAATGTGTAGTATACAGAAAGCTCACTAAAATCTGACTGCTTTAATCATAACAAAGGTGTATAGACATAGTAAAGTGGCTATGCGCTCCATAAGGAGACCTCTTACAGAACCATCTGGTGGGAAACGTCACGCTAGCGTTTATATCTCGAAAACGGTATGAGTAAAAGGATTCATGAGTAAAATGATGTAAATGAAGTAAAATATGAAGTAAAAGGATTCGCAAAGTTGTACATCAACATCGATGTAGTGCATTAATGCAAACTAAGCTTATGCACAATTATTATTTAGTGTTTCTATTGACTATTAACGCTAACTAAAGAACTCTTAAAACGTTCTTTTGTTGGTTCGTGATTTCCTACATCGTGAAGCAACGAAACGATTTAAGTAAGGGGGAAAATAAAGCTAGTAATCACAGGTTATTTTTTTATTTTTAAACTTTTCTTTACTTCTTAAATCAGTCTCATCAAGTCACAAACGAAAAGCTCTTTTTTTATTAATATTAATGCTTACAAGGTGTCTATCCATAATAAATCAATAATTTTATAACAGCTTTGTATTTCACTCCTTTTCCACTTGTACCTCTAAATTCTAAAATTTTAAACTAGGTAGAGCTCTAAGCAATCTTATCTTGTAGTACATACAGCCCCTTTACTATACCTGGATACTTTTTTAAAAATATAGTTGCAGCCGATAAAATTTTGGGAGCGTGGATACGGACTTTATTGGGCATTCTGCATAATATACTGTGCATGGAATGTTAAAATATATATCGAAAATCAAGTAACAAATATAACTTACTCGTGGAATTGGTTTCTTCATATTTTTCATCTGGAATATTCCCTGTAATATAAACAACAGCAAAATGAAAGGATTGAAGAAATTTAAATCATCAAGATGTTTCGCTGATAAGTGAAAATAAATGTCTCAATCGGTAAACTAGAACAGAAGTTCCGACAGTATGCTCATTCTAGAACATTTTACTGAAAGTTTAAGCTAAAACTACATTAATTAATCTTCACTAAAACAAAATTGTTGCATCCACATTTTCTTTTCGTATGTAAAAAAAGCTTGAATTAGACGTATATGAAACTTAAAATACTGAACCATTAAGGGTTAATACGAAAAAGTTTTGAATTGTAAAATATACAAATTTTTTCTTCCTTTTAAGTTAGTTTTTTTTATATATATAAAAAAAGAAACCTTGAAATTTTAATGGAATCGATTTAATACTTCTCACGAAATAATTCTAAAATACGACATCCTTGAAATTGTATTGCTCAGAAACTATTGAAATTTCATTAATTTAGAATTACCCTTCAGATGTGAGTCAATCAGAACTCTCGATACGTTTGTTTCTATTTAAACATTTCAAAGAATACTTGATATAAATGATAGGGGGGAAGAAGAATATACGGATTGAACACAGATAGGCAGTACATATGTGAAAATACACCCTATGCTCCCCGATCACCCTTAATAAATATTTTTAGAATGCTTATCAAAAAGTAACCGAGAAAAGTTTACACATCAATTAATAATTAATTGAGAAGAAAACAAAAGAGCTATTGACTTGTGATAATGATAAAAAACTATTGAGGAAGCGAGAAGACTTTTTAATTATCGCCTATCGTTTCCTTTCTATTTCTTTTGGCGATAAAACAAGTTTTGATGTTTTCAGTTTCGAAGATTCATCAGTTGCGAACCCTAAAGTGAATTCAGACGACCCTTTTAACAAAGATTCTAAAAATTTATGAAGACCAGTAATCTACCAGTAACATAGCATCACCAAGCGTTCTACACTTTTGATCTAAGATAGAGGTAGGTGTGAAATCTTAATTATAAATCCATCAGGAAGGAGGTGGATTTTCTATCTGATACTTTCTAATATTATTATTATTAGCATTGAACCTTAAAAGAGAATGAATTTTGAATTTCAGGTAGGATTCAAATAAATAAATAAATAAATAAATAAATAAAATATGGTTGATTTCGAAAAGAAAGAAAATGGTAGTGTATATTTGTTTATAAGTTTATCAAGTTTTCATTTTTATAGTTACCTATTGTTCAGTTTTTAATCAAAAAAACACAAACAAAACTTTATGCTTTAATTTCAGATACTATTATTAGACATTGCTCAAAAGGTAGAGACTGCTATGCAAGAAAGACAGACTTACTGCTAAAAAAGGTAAAAAGTTAATAACAAATAATTCTGAATTCTATTGATGTTTATGTTATATGCACTACCTATATAATATATTTTTCTATTTTAGAAAATTAATTCTATAAAAACATTTTTCCTCGATATCAGAATATCCTAAATAACAAATTTATTGAAAAAGTTACAGGAGTTTGTATATGTTACATGATTTGGACAATCGTATACTTCGAGTATATGACAGTAGCATTTTATTATAGAAATCTATACATAAGAGATGCATAAGAAAATGCATAAATACTTGGAAAATTATTTTTAGGATGAGAAAATATTGTTTTGGTTTATTTCTTCCTATTTTTTTAAAAAAATTAATAATATCAAGGTTCTTTTCCCCCTTTTTTTGATAAACATTAAAATACTAAATTTCGTTTTTCAAAAAGCTATCACACTGTAACACAACTTAAATATGATATTACTGTCATTAATGATACTATCAAGTAACCGTTCTAATCCCTTAATGGTCTCATAATTTATTAAAAAAACGATCATAAGAGTGTCCATTATTTTTATTTAAGAAAATTATGTAAAACTAAGTGTATATGCAATATATGTAATCTTTTTAATTTTTAGGATAGTTTTAAGCTTACACGTTTGCTGAAATCTCAGCTTACCTCCGTATTAGTAACGAAGGAATTTTATTCTCACATTTTAACTATAGCTCCGTGTTCGATAGCAACACTAGTAACAATTGCTTTCTGACCAAAATGTCTAGAATTTATTGTCATTTTAAGGCCAAATAGAATTTATCATCCATTTATCATCCTTAATTGTTTGCTATAGAATCGACAAAAGCAATTTATCAATTATTATCTTGAAAGTCAATCTAACTTCTGTCCATTTTAGCACGAGCAAGATCAATAAAACTTTAAATAAAATTCTGTGCTAAATGGCATGACAAGATTTAACCTCCCCCTGATCACCAAAAACTACGAATTCGTTGTTATATCATTGCCCTTTAGAATTAATCGTAAACTTGATTGCTTAAAAGGGTGATAAATGTCAATCATTTTTTTCGTCAGTCAAAATTTTGATCACTTTCTGACACGCTAGATTGCTTGAATTTTAATTCTAGCTGCTTGTTATACGAATTTCAATTGTGTCCTAAATGCTGGTGCAAGCAAAAATTATATCACCATTTTATCGCTGGGAACAGAACGTAGCCAGAATTATCTTCTCCTTGTTAATTAATTTAAGTAACTTAATTAAGAACATTTTCATTTCCCTTTATAATTAATAAATGCATTAGTACCATGATTTAGCCATCAATCGTCTTTTTACGATGGTTGCATTTTATACGAGGCGTGTTTTTTTAAGTAAGGACCGTTTTGTTGTGCGCACTAATAGGCAGCGTGAACGTCGCAATGGGTGCTTGCGCCGTGTCCCTGCATTCCTTGAGAACAATTGTGCACAGTTGCAGTTGTGTAGGTTACCTGTACGGTAAGTCCTGTGTCTTTAAAATGTTTAAGATTATTGAATCACTAGCCCTGTACGAGGTACGGTCATACGTTTGTACGTTACGTTTTTTTTTTTTTTTTTTTTTTGGTCTGCAAAAAACCTGTCTGCTGCAAACATCGGCCTATTTGTGAAGTTTACGGAGGTAATGCCATGCTGACAGAGAATGTTGCCACTCCATGACAATGACTCTAGAACAAATCAGAGCTTAATCGGACATTTTTGGTTAGGAAGTTTTGGATCCTCCTTCCTGTAGCCCAGACCTTGCGTCTAGCGATTTTCATCTTTTACAATACTTTAAACATAATTTCGGTAGTTTTAGGTAGATATTAGTTATCAGAGTAGACGGCAAGTTCCTATGAAGAGGGTATTCTAAATCTAGTTGTAAGACATTATAACTGTTTAAACAAACTTGACAATTATATTGACACATGGAAAAACGTATGTAGAATCTGAAAATAAATTTGTTTTTCGAAAATTTTATTTAGTCTAGTTTTTATTTTTTAACAGCTATATTACTTAACACGTCTCGTATGTTTAAAACTGAATATTAAATACGTTGTTGTTGCAATTCAAAGTATATTAGGTGTTGCATGCTTTGACTCTGATACTTAAACTATTTTATTCAATGGAAAGTAGATATATTAAATACTTTGTTGATTTTAAATTCAGTGATGAAGTGCTTAGACACTGATACACAAGCAGCTCTAGTTAATAGTGAACAGAGTATCAGTTAAAATTCTAAGTATGGTAAATGGCTTGCTTCGACTTTGAAATGCAAACTACTTTATTTAATAGAAAACAGAGTATTAAATATTTTGCTGTCGTTAAAATTCCAGAAAAATGGAGCATTTTGACTTTGATACACAAAACAATTACATAAAAACAAATAAATTTAGAGACAGTCTGCATCAAATTATTGCTTTCTTGAAGCACATCCAAAAAATGATGACGCCTAACCAGTCTAAATTTTTGTCAGAAGGAATGAAAAAAAAAAAAGTTTCGTAAGACTGCTATGTCACTTTACAACTAACAAAAGGGTTTGGCTTTCTCACTTTCTATACCAATGTCAAGTTCATATGCATAACCAGCTCCAATTTGAAGGTTTCTTTAAAAGCTTGTTATTTCTGTCACGTCTTTATTGTTTATCACCTCTTTACACTTTCTTCTTCGCGAATGAAATTAATAACCCTGAAGCAATAACAAGAACAACCTCGACAGTGAGATTCATCGAGTTCCAGACAGCACTTTAAACATAACTGATCTGCTTTGCAAAACTGATTTTAGGAACCGAAAATATATTTGTATTTTGTGTCTATAATTCTGCATAATCCTAAACATGTAAACGTTAGTTTCAGCATATAAGTGTAGGTTTTTTGAAAAACAAAATTAGTAGCAGTAAAACAATTAGTTTATTGGCATGCATGCTCATATTAAGAATTTGTGGGATGATAATCTGTTCTTGATAAAAAAAATAACCAAAGGAATACAGATTTTATAACCGTCAATGAAGAGCTGACCCGATTTTGAGTTTACGACTACCAATGTTCAATTCAGTAGCCTTGTAATTTTGAATACAATCCAGAAGACAAGGAAACTATAGAATCAAGTAATGGAAGAAATTTTGCTTCGTGTGGAGGACTTTTTGATGGAACTAATCCTCATTTACCGTAAATGGAGAGGAAAACCACAAAACTTCCTACGGTTAGTTTGACGGCAAGGGGATTTTAACCCTTGATTCGTCTACCACTGAGGATATTTTAATGTTTGTCTAAGATAGGTACTCTGACAGCCACTAAGTCAGCGGCAGTCTGGTGCTATGGAAACAAGAAGAGGGCATTTTAGGGAGGATAGCTTCGATGAAAGAGGTCTCTTCTCTCGCCGAAACCAGTCCTAAAGAGGGATCCCGCACCCATACTTGAAATTATCATACCTCGTTACCATAGTCACTGCCACAGCTGCAGACGAATGTCTGGCAGAGTACCCATCTTAGACAAACTGTACATCAGCACTGTGGTCGGTACGAGCCGGGTGTGGAATTCGTTTCGACCAGCCATCGCTGAGATTCGAACTCGGTTCACCTTTATTCTCTGAGCCACCACGTCTCAAAAAAAAATTGGGTTACAGATTGTGGGACTCAATATAAAGAAATAATTTTGCTCAATGACGAGAC